GTTTTAACCATTTGCTTTCCTTTGAAGCAGAAATAGAATAGAACACTTCCCAAACGATTGGAAGATTGTAGAACGATTACGAAACCTAGAAAGTACGGAGTGCAAATTAGTTCTTCATATATATTAGAGCTTTCGTCATATGCAAAGCATTTAAACAAAAATGCTTCTCAAAAGATTTAAATATGTTCTGAACACACACAGGCTCATCCCAAATCAGAAATTTTGTATGGAAAAAACAAAACGGACAATAGCACGAGTTCCTACACTTTCCCGAAAAATATACTGCTAGCTTCATTTCTTGACGCAACACAGGTTTTTGACAAAGTATTTTATATTTTGGTTGTAGTGTCTTTTAGGAATTTTTGTTGTAGCGTTTTTAAATTTATTGTTAGCTCCTTCATTACTGGAATTATTCAGAAATTTTAAATATATTTTACAGATAATCATTTGTCAAGTACAACTCACATAAGGAGAAAGTTTACTTATAGTTTCAGTGACACTATCACTCTGTATAGGTATATTTTTTGTGCCGTAATGTTCCTACCTACTGTGCCTAATGCCTAATGTTCTGAATAACTTATATCATCATCATCATCATTTGTATATTATTTTGTTAATCATTTATATTGGAATGAGCAAATAAAAATTGACCTTACTTAACCTTTTTATATCGTTGACCGCTGGGATATAAAGATAATCCTGTCACATTCGCTTTACGTATTAGTTAATAAACAAATAATTTTTAGGAGAAATACTAACCGAAAATGACGTTTAGTGGGTACAAAAATCTAAAATCTACCGATGAAAATCATTAAATATTGACGCAAGTGGATTCCTCTGTAAATATATGTCTTACCATTTGCGTATCACTTATTCATTTATATTCGATATCAAAATCAATTCCTGGGCTTCAGTCATTTATTGCCTATTTATCAATTAATAAACAATAGACATAAAAATAAGAGATAAATAGACAATAAATGACTGAAGCCCAGAAATTGATTTTGATTTGGAATTGAAACACAGTCAGGAAAGTATGTACAATTTATATTCGATGTCATTAATGGATCCAAAAATTAAATTAAACTTTGTCGTGAACAACGTTTTGACCTGTGGTCAAAACCCTATTTCATATCTGAGCAATGTTTTAATTAAGCAACGATTTAAAAATCCTCTAACCTTGCTAAATGATAAATCCTATCAAAATTAGCAAACTAATACAATTTATTAATCAGTGAATAGCCCTTACTGAACATAACACAAAAATTTGCAGTCTTTCACTGAAGGTCCCGATATATTACGTATTGATAAACTCGCGTGAGCAACAGAGGGTTAAAATACAATTTCTACATGTATACATAATTTATATTCGTCTGCCCTGGTTTTTGTATGCTTACTTGTCACAAAAATCTATATTTATTCGACAAATGGCAGTTTTACTTGGATCATATTGCGCTTTCCCACTAGCTTTCTTACTTCTAAAGGTATAGTTCAAACTGAAATTATCACCTTCAGTGAAGGCTGAACCGAACCATAATACATACTCGATTAGTTTGTATATTCTCTGCAGTTATACTGCCGTGTTTCAGTTGTCATTTGACCACGAATCAGTTAGATGCAGATCAAATAGCATCAGAAGAGCTGGAAGACATAGAAGATTACCTAAAAAATGCCGACTTAAATGGAAACCGATGCACGATTTATAACATAATCGAGCCGATTGAACTTGGATTTTGCAGGCACTTTGTGGCAAGACTTTTGAAGAAAATTAAGTGCTTGCGAATCGTTTTAAATTACGATAATCTTAATTACATGATGGACACAATTGAATCAGCAACTATCATTTTCATCAATACGACTGACAATGTCGACGGAATTTTAGAAAAGTTTGTATCTGAAACCGCATTTAACAATTTAGGAAAATACAAATTAATCGTATGTGAAAGACGTCTCTACGCAATGAAGTCCTTAACCTTTCCGAAACAGTTTGGAAACATAAAATTCTAGATTTTGTGTTATTATATTCGAACACAACTCTACATCAGGCGATATTTAATCCTTTTGTTGAAAGTCAATTGAGCATTTTTACAAGGGATAGTTTGAAGGATTCTTCAAAAGAATTTCCCGATAAGCTACAAAATATGCATGGCTACCCAATAAAGCTACTGGTGAGTAAATCATCAATGACCATAACAAACCCACGCTATGACTACGACCTAAATTTCATGGATATTTTAAAGACATATTTAAATGCAACTTACCAGAGCAATTATTACACTCTTGAAACAGCCTACTATAAGGATATTTTGCAACTTATGGCAAATGACGACAGTGAGCTGAATCCGTACACACTTCCCTATGGATTTTTATTGGATTTACCTGAGAATATATTTAATGAAGCTGGCTGTTCATATCCCCATACCATGAATAATATTCACGCCTTGGTACCAAAGCCTCAAAAATTACCGAACAGATTAATCTGGTTCTCTGGACGCGTTTGGGTCTACTTAATGCATTACAGCTGTTGCATATGCATGGCAGTGATGGATAAATGCTTATTTTTTACTAATAGGAACGAATCCACGCAAATGGAAATATTTCATTATCTCACGTCTAGCGTCAGCATGGCAGTACCAAATTTCACTAAGAACCATTCGATCATCAAATTATTTCGGCTAATTAATATGGTATTTCTTAACAAACTGTATGACCTTACTTTGTTGAATTCTGCAATATTTCCTGAATATACGCCAAAAATTAAAACTATGCAGGACGCAGTAGAGAATGGCCTGGGAATATATGCTCCGGGCCCTATGGAGAATATTAATTATAAAATAAACCTGCCAAATGGTTCCGCATGGAAAGATCGGATAATGGAAAATAAGGGAGATGCAGTTTTCCTGGGAACCTATAAAACTCTGGATATGTTTGGAAAGATCTATGTTCACACCTACAAAACACCCTTTAACTTCGAAATAATGAACGAACCGATTTTGCTTAAATATGGCTGTTACATTATGAAACGAAGATCACAATATAAGCGAAAAATTTATTTCATGGTGGCAAGAGTTGCCCAAATGGGTATCAAGCAAATTACAGATTACAATTATGGAAACCTTTTCGAAACTAATAGTACAATAACAATGACAACTCTTTCAAGGACTTTTCTCCACCTATCAATTGGATGGGTAGCGACCACTATACTATTTTTCTCGGAAATAATTTGGAAAAAAGTGTCCAGTGCATATAAAAAATTACTTAGAGTTAAGACTTAATTTGTCAGCTGATATGTTGTTTGTGAATACAGTGTTATTGTAGCGTATTAGGAGAGAGGTAGCTGAACTTTGCACGTAAATATACGTGTTTATCTACTAATTACAATTCAATTTGTTTGTTTGTTCGATTCAAAAATCGCCAATATTGATCCTCAAGCTGAACACGTTATTATCACTTTTGCGGACAAAAGGCTCTCGTCCTCAGTTCCTAAAAGACCTAATTAGCTATAATTGACCTGTGGGAGCGTCTAACGAGATAGATGTTACTAGATATTAATTAAATTTTAAAACATGTATAACATTTTTTAGCAAAACAATAAGTTTCAAAAAAATCTCTCACGCTCACTAACTGTTTATGTTGAAGTGAACTAGCGGTTATTTAGGCAATTTCGTCAAAATTACATATTGACAAACAACCCTTACTACTCTACTACTCAATAGCGTTATTGGAGCTGTGCTATATGCAGCGAAATATCCACTAAATCCGAGGCTTTTTTTTAGAAATACAGGAGGGCTCGAATTGGTGTGTGAGTTTAAAGGAACGCATAGAGCAGAATTCATGTGCCTCAATTAAGTAGTGGATTAAAATGTTGCGTGAATCAATAGGTTATTCTACTCGTCGACGTTATTTGCGTCGTTCGCACCTCGGTTCCAGTTTTAATAATTTATTACTACGCGTACAGCAGGTATTTAGGTTTGCGTTGGCCTTTTGGCCATAAAATACTTTAATTAGATTACATCATTTCTGAGAGATTTTGTTCTTTTTTGAGTTATATAACTTTAATGCAGCAGCAGCCTCTGATTTTGTATACCTAAATTTGCAGATTCACATAATGTTTTTAATACTCTTCTACCATATTGTGGTGCTGCTGTGCCTTGATTTGATGCATTTCCTTTAAAAAGTTATTTTCGTTTAAGGTTTGTTTTAAATTAACGTTTTAAAAATATTTATTAATAAATTTCCTTTTTGCTCGACGATATTATGTATGGGTTTAAATGGTAATATACAAATAAAACCACATCCATCTATACAGCATTGCTGCATAAATAACAACTTTAATTAAAATTGATGATTTTTTCTGGGTGCTTTGGTTTACGTTAAATTTAATACGCAAGAGGGTACCATTTTATAAGAATTTTATATTTTAACAATATGTAACCACCTCGGTTATCTGTAGGTTCAGGTATATAAATAAAATGCTGACTGAAACATAATCAAAAATATTTCGCCTATCTAATCACGATAGAAAGTGTAAAGTGTGAGTTTTTTGAAAACAGGGACAAAGTGCAAAATGCACAACAGAAATTTTTCAATGCAAGTCTAAAACTTTGAAATTAGGGAACAAGTTTGAGTTATAAAATGAGCACTTATTAAGAATTAATATTTTGTTTTTTTTTCATTTATATAGATTATTAATACATATTCTGTTTTCCAAACAGTGATTTATGGTTTGGCTTAATTTATACATTTTTCCTAGTATTACTATATAAGCCGTCTTGTTTTCTGCTTAATGCCTCATTCATTTGTATTACAAGTTACGCGATATTTCGCACGTTGTACATTAAAATTGTAAATTGTTTCAAAACATCATACGAGACACTTAATTACTAATTCAATACAAATTGCGGAAATGTGAACTTAATGCAAAACACTTGCAAAAAAACGACAAATTTATGGCCGATCCTGTCCTGCTAATAAAACATCATTTATTTAGTCGATAAGAGTAATAAATAATGATTTCACTCATCCCTAAGTTAAACAAAATATCTCACTGTACAAGCAAAACTCAATTTTAGTTGTGCGTGGTCATAATAATAAAATAAGTCTTGTAATGTCCTGGTTTATCAAATATGTGTTCGTTGCATTTGTTGGCATAGTGCTGGTATTTATTTATAATCAAACGCAAGGTCAGTACTGATTATTAAATTTCAATGTTTATAATAATTATACACAAATTCAAAATTAGCGCAAAACTCTTTAGTGCTAATTTTGAAATTCACATTGGTATTTTATAGTAGGTGCATCAGACTACAGAAAAAATTCAGACAGACGATGTCACTTTCTACAAGACGAAACTTGATCTTAAGCGCTGTTTAAGATTTACTCAGTTTCAAAAAGTTTCTAATGTTTTCTTAAACCTCATTATTTAAAATTGCATATAGTTTACCACACACAGTTTAAGTACATAGGTGTTTCCTCCAGATGTGCCTTTGCCTACTTTAGAAGATAAATGGTGGGGCAAAGGTCCCAAAATTGTTGAAACAAGGAAAATAACCAACAGACAAATAAATGTGCCTGAAGAGGTAAGTTCAATTTTAAATAGAACCACAGTGATTTAATGAGATTTGAATTTAAAGAACATTTATTTAAGTTACATTACAAAGCAAAATGACAAACATGCATGCAAAAAAACCTTATTGTCATGCAGTTGAATCTCTATTTAAAAAACATCATATAGATTGATGTTGAATATCAAACTGGAAAAAACAGTCACGCAAGTAATTAGCTCAAGTATACATCCGAATTATCTACTACAATTAATAATAACTGATAACATATATTTTTTAGCCAACTATCTTTCATATTTATAATAAAATGTATACGCAATAAAAGTGTTTTTTGAGGTCAACCGGCAACTGCAATTTCCTTAACAAATTTTGACTAATACTTACTGAACATTAAATAGTAATTTCCGCACATTTATACTTTAAAGGAAAATTCAACTTTGATGGAATCAACGAAATTGTACCATAACGCATTGCTCGCAGAAATAAAAAGATAAATTTGCTGTAAAGTGAATAATTGCTACTTGAATGAAGAAGGCATTCCAAATCTGGATATGTCAATTTTGAAATCAGTTTTAAAAGCTTAGCATGTCGTTATTAAAAAAACTGTTTTTTTTTTAATTTAATTACAGTGATACTATAATATAACGTTATTTCAGTGGGAGCTCACAAATTTTATTTTATTTTATTTTGCAACAATAAAAAACGCAGAAGCTTCGTTGTTGTAACCGTGTAATCTTAACATGTTCGAATCGACAAATTGCAAAGTAAAACTAAAGGTATCAGGGAAATCCTGAAACATATTTTGACCAGACTCATTGACTCATCGATCATTATGCAGTCAGGCAGGAGATCTTGCACCCGACAAGCAAAATGCGTCAACAATTAATAAATTTGGTACAACCAAAATTTACACTTGAATTTATCTTCAACTACAATTTACAACTACACTTACAAAAACTTGATCATACATGTTTGGACCAATCAAGACTCCATGGTTCGCTAAAAAAAAACGTATTATTTATAATGACCAGCTGAAAAAATATATACATATACGCAGATAATAATACAAATACAAGTTTCTTCAACTTCATATAGGTGATACTAGACCTCAAGAGTCGCCTTCGCAATACAAAACCGTTTCATCCCAGCTTAGATGGCGTGAATCAATTCTACGGCATTCACGTAACTGCGTTGAACAATGTTTTAAATTATTGGAAAAATGAATATAACTGGACCGAAAGACAGGCCTATCTAAATCAACACCAGCATTTTTTTGTTAATATCCGAGGGCTTGAAATACACTTTTTACACATCAAGCCAAAGAGAATTGTGCATGAAAATGGAAGAAAACTGAAGGTTTTACCCATGTTAATAATGCATGGCTGGCCAGGCAGCGTTAGGGAGTTTTATGATATTATTCCCAAATTGACTGAACCAAGAAACGGTAAATTTTAAAGGTTTTCACTTTATAGCACTCTTTATATGTTTCAATTGACTCTTTCAGATAAAGACTTTGTTTTTGAATTGATATTGCCTTCTTTGCCGGGTTTCGGATTTTCCGAAACCAGTACAAAGCCAGACCTATCTGTTATACAGATGGGACAAATTTTTGCCGACCTTATGAACATACTGGGATTCGAAAAGTTTTATGTCCAAGGAGGAGACTGGGGCAGTTACGTTGCTCAAAGTATGGCATCTTTTTACCCGGAGAGAGTAATTGGTCTGCATAGTAATATGTGCTATTGCAATACTAAAATGACCTATGTAAAGTAGGTATTATTAATGTATTCGAGAAGTTAGTAAGGACGGCAAAGAAGTTGTGTGGCTATTCTATTTTTGAGTGTCTGCAAAGAACTTTATTAACATGGAAATTAAGCAGATATTGAAAGGAAGCAAATTGAATAGACATCGCGTAAATTTCTATTCTCATATACTAAACATTTTCGCTATTAGTGAACTCAGATGCCACTTTTGATTTCTCTTCCCAAAACAAATAAACCTACGCAAAAGTTTCAAAATGTTGAATGTGCCTAATGTATTCAATCTAGTTGAAGTGAATAAAGCCTCAGGTATTTCATAACTCCCATATTGACTATTACCATATCAAATAGCGGATAGTTTGAAACCAAAGAACATACATACAAATGTTTCAGTTGCAGTCAAAGGATTACATTGGATAAAATTCGAAATCAGTATGTTTGCCAGCATTATTAAATGACGTCAATATTTAAACTGCAATAACTTTTAATTGCCAGCTGATATTTAATCGCAAATACGCGTACTGATGAAGTTCCTAATACTACCAAATTATAGAGAAAATATGATGATAAATGTTTTTCTATTTAACTGGGAGAGATCCAAACTGAGCTCTACTGACACAGTAACCGCATGGTATGCAAATAGGTATTGAATGTGTCAAAGAAATAAAAGTTGATAATTATCCCATTGCAACTTATAGTGGAGATTATTCTACTTTAAATTTATAACTTAAAACGAACAATGCTTGAACGTAACTACAAAAAATGCTTGAAATCAATTATCCTTCAGATAGTTCCACAAGACTACACCGTTAACTAAACTTGTTAAAGATTTCTAGTAGATATCAATGTTATATAAATATATTATCTTTGGTATAGTGGAAAAATTCTTGTATATTAGCGATCTCTTTGCTTGAAGCTTTACTGTCCATCAAAGTTTATCAAAAAAATGACGTTTTTGGATATATCGAAGATCGATAGATTTCAATGCAACTTGTAAAATGTGTCAATGAAAGTCAATAAGCCGTTCTTGGTTAGTGCTACATTCTGCAGAGGCTTGGTACCAAAGCTACCATATAATTTTGTTAGTTGACATCAATTAATTTGGTTTTATTTTATACATTATTCCGTTTTTGAAATGTTTATGCTCTTTAATCATCTTGTATGTTTAAAGCGTCATCGCAGAACATTTTTCCAGATTCAGTTTTAATGCATATAATAAAAAAAATTGTCTTTCGAAGGTTCGTCTTTATATTCTTTGCTAGCTTCAAAAAATTCCCTGGTGAAAACACCCAAGAATTTATCACTTGGACAAACCGCGATATCCAAGAAAACATTTTTTGTAGCGCATTAAATTTTTATAAACATTTTCTATCTACATTCGTACATCTGCCGTTCTAATTATCTATTTGTATGCATGAACTTATTTTTATTTTGCAATATAATTTCAGATTTTTAATTGGAAACTATTGGCCGGGTTTAATATACGAAGACTACGAAATGTCCACCATATACAATACAACTGCCAATACGTTAAAGTTTCTAACTGAAGAAACTGGATACTTTCACATACAAGCCACAAAACCGGACACAGTTGGTGAGTTTAACGCAATGTGATAGACAACCTAAATAAGTGTAATAGTAAAATTGTTTTCCAAGAAATACAGACGCTTTTATAGATCGTATTGTCTTTATCTTAATAATTATTTTAAGAGCGAAACTGAAAAAATGTCAAATTAAATACCTCCTATCTGCGTACAATGTTTGATTAGGTTTAGACCCTTTAAGAATTGCGAAAACGAAGTGATTACTTAATTAATGTTACATATGTTCAGTGTAATTATCATTATTTTTCAATGGTAATCATAATCAATTGCAGATATATATTTTTAACCAAAAATTTCATTTTTAGGAGTGGGCTTACGCGATAGCCCAATGGGATTAGCTGCCTATATGCTTGAAAAATTTAGCACTTTAACCAATCCAAACTACAGAAACTTGGAAGATGCTGGTTTAACGGAAAAATTTACTTTAGAACAACTATTGGATAATGTGATGATTTTTTGGGTGACGCAATCCATGACCAGTGCTATGAGAATTTATGCTCAATATTTTACTGATTTTGATATGAATAGCAGAGTTATTCATGGGTATGTTCAATATTATCGAATTAATCAACTTACAGATAAAAAAAACGAAACATATTTTTAGAACGAAGATATACACACCAACAGCGTGTGCCAGATTTAAGTATGAAATATTACATCTCCCGAAATCCATTTTGTCAGAGCGATTTAAAAATTTAGTTTATCTGTCCCAATATGACCAAGGAGGACATTTTGCTGCTTTCGAAGAACCAGATCTATTTGCAGAAGATATTTATATGTTTGTTGAAAAAGTGGAAAAAATGTAATATAACTTTTCCAGTTAGGAAAATTAATTGTATTATGCATAATTAAATACTCTATTATTTGGAACTGAATTCAAATATTGTTAATTTGTTAACCATATACCAATCATAATTTTCGTTCTTTTCTAATTGAATCATTGCAGAAATTGTTTTTAAATTTAGTTTGTTGTCTGCTTAAAATGACAAATTTTTAAAATGAAAATTAAACAGAGCTAATTTTGGTCAAAAACCGTGGTTTCTTAGGGAACATTTTTTATTAATGAATTATGCTTGACCTAAGAGCTTCTCAGTATTCTAATATATCTTCTGTGTTTGGGACTTGGTCTAGAATTTAAATGTGTAGTCGGCCAGACGGCGTCTATTCAAAATCCACCACACTAAATATAGGCCATAATTTTCAGTTACTTCGATTGGAAAAGTCTAGCTTGTCTATTTTTCAGCTAGCTAACTATAGCGAGTGCTTGTGCGAATTTTCGACGTTTTCATTTTTTGACAAACCAGGTTTATTTCCTCTTCAAGGAAATTTTCAAAACTTAATGAACTGAAATACAATAAAGCTTTTTGTTGAATACCCCCAAAACACCGCTCTTTCTGAATATCCTTCGCGTCTCGCGTTCGAATTCTGTCTTGAAACTTCGGTCAAGACTACTGTTCCACTTTTATAAATGGGTACATCGGATAATTTTTTTCAATTATTTTTATCTTATATTTTCATAGATCAATTTTCTAACAGCGAATATTTGCACTGCTCTATACGAACAACTAGATATAAATAGAAATTCTAATGATAGTTAGATAATAAAGAAAGTTTAATAATTCTTGACCAATACATTGTTTGACTGGCAAAAAATATACACGTCCAACTTCATGTACTAAGTAAAAGCAAATACTATTAAACATGAATTAAATACAAATTCAACCAGTTAATTGTTTGCTCCGAAAAAGCAAAATATTTCCTTTATAGCTATTGAATTAAATATTCAAATCCGGCAACATATTAAACACAAAGCAACACATTGTCCTAGTTGCATTCGAGTGGCCTGGTCAAAACCTATAGCGATGTTCTTGGTGGTATCGGAAAGTTGGATAACTCTTTTAATTCTACTTCAAACACCAATTGATGTGTATGGTATGATGAATTCGACAAATCTAATGAAAATGCATCGAATATATGACGAATTTTCCCACTATCTCCATACCACAAGACCTAAAAGTTCTTACGCTACCTGCAATATCGTATTACCGGAAAACGAAGCTAAATGCAGTGATGATATCTACTCCTTTATACACGCATCGAATTGTGCAAAAATAATTTTCTGCGTAGAAAATTTGGAAAATTTCTCTGACACTTTAACAACAGTCACAATTATATTTGTGACCGAGTTACGACAGCTTTATGATATCCTGCCTACATTCGTCGGATCAACATATTTTACAAATCTAGGAAACTACAAATTCATCATTTGTAGCGGCATGGTTAACCACAAGAACATTTACGCGGTGTCCCAACTACTATGGATTCACAGAATTTTACAATTTGTGGTTTTATACCACACCGACTCGTTGATTCATGTTACTTTTAATCCGTTTCTAAACAATCTGGAAGTAACTGAGACTAAAGATTTTTTGTACAACACTGTCGAATTTCCGGATAAACTCAGGAGAGTTAATGGGTATCCTATAAAAATGATAATTCCTGAATCACATAAATATTCAGCGATGCAAATGAGTAGAGATTTTGATGTAAATTTCAGTTATGCAGTTCAAAAGTATATCAATGCAACCATTATACTGGACGTGCATCCAACCAATAGTATAAATTCTCCAGAGATTTTTCGCCTCATTGCTCTGACTGATGCTGAATTCAGTCCCTTAACTCAACCATTTCCTTTCACTGGAATTGACGAAAATATAACAAACCTGGTAGGCTGTTCCTACCCTCATTTAATGAACGATATTGCTCTGCTAGTACCAAAGCCAAGAGCGTGCTGGAATAGTTTTTTGCACTGGCTGAAACCTATGTACGCAGTCATATATTTTTCAGTTATAATATTTTCAGCGATACTGGATAAATACATATCCAAAAGTCCTATATTGCTAAAGAATCAGAGCTTTTCGTATATTACTGCAGGCTTCAGAACTCGTTCCTGTGACTTCGAACGGAATAAATCCATCATAAAATATTTTTGGATACTAAATTGTTTGCTGATGTGGCCCGTGATAGATCTGAAAATATTACAAGTGATAATAATGCCGAAATGGTGCACCGAAATTTCCTCCATAGAAGATTTGCGGAATTCAGGTATAAAAATCTACTCTTATGGATATGGTAGTTCCCTGAACTTAAACATAACACAAACAACGGGAATAACAGAATTTGCCAATAAGTTATTGCAAAATAATGAAGACACTGCCTTTATTGGATCCCAAAGAATCATTCAAAGGATCATGCAACGAAACCGTGATAATAACCGAAAGATAGTACACCAGCTTCTGCCTGATCCAATTATCCCAAGATTTGGATGCTTCATTATGAAAACCAAATCACCATTTCACAGCAGATTTTCCACATTGTCTTTGAGAGTTGCTGAAATGGGAGCGAAACTGTTAACATCAAACAATTTCATAAAAATTACTGACGTCAAAAATTCTTCATTAGCTGGATCCTTTTCCTCAGCTTTGCTCTATCTAGCAATTGGACTAACTATTTCTGCTCTAGTTTTTGCCTTTGAATTACTAGTTTTTCATCCTGCGCGAACTCTTATTTAATGTATTTCATTAGTTTGGGTTGGCTAATGTGTAAAATCAATATTTCTTGTTAAAGCTTACCCAAGTAAGTCAAAGTAAAATTCTTAATCTCAAATATTTTTTCCTGTGGGAAGGCTCCGCAAGATAATAATCAGAACTTCAATAGCTGCTTGATCACTAAGGTTTGTAGTTATATACTCAAAAACTCAGTGCTTTGGGATGCAAATAAGAGAAATGCCTCCGATTTTAAATTGCAAATATTAACTAGGCCGCGTTTATTGTTATTTTTCACGCCACTTTGTGCTGTGGGCTTCTATCCGTTTTGTTTGCAGAACTTTAATATAGAAGAAATATATTAGAGCAAAAGTCACAAAATGTCAACCAAATCACAATTAATATTATCTTATAGTCTAAAAAAGAATATAAAAAATATTAAATGCAAAACAGAGCTCCAATGTTCCACGTGCATGAATAATGTCATACTATTACTTACAGGTTATATATATATATATACTATTACTTATATGTTTTATATACAAAGTATGTATTTTTAAAATTCATACTGTTGTCAGATTATATACCTTGCACAAGTTATATTGAACATTTCGTACATGTTTACAGTCCTTCAAAAGGGTTTAAAAACGCGAATATTGTGTAATTTATTGAAATCGGCACTTCAATGTTTTAAATGTGTTCATTTTGCCAGTGTGTTGCTTTGGTCCTTCCTCAACTATCAAAGGAGACAGATAGTGTTTATAAAGAGCCTAAATTAATGGTGTGTTGTCCATTTAGTGAAGTGTAGAGTTTAAAAATGACGACTAAAGGTATGAGTATTTATGTAAAACCTGTAGATTTAAAAGTCATATTTAAATGTACTGTGTAATTGAGTAAGTATATGATTCTAAATATATTTAATTGACTGAGATATTTCTTTAGTACTCAACATAGAATAAGGAAAATGTGATTTATGCAAACCTCAAAAAATTTGCATCAGTTGAGCATTTATGGACATAAACAAATGTTAATAGTTCACTAGTTTATGGCCCAATAGCGTTTGAAATAATAATCCCCTTACTAACAAAGTGCAAAGTCTTGAAAGTGCTTTCTTGAGAAAAATTGCTTTCCGATCACTTTTTGCTCAATGAAATTTGTAATTTTTCCATTTGGCTCTTTCAGTTCACTTTGTCAATAATTAAAAAATATATAAATTATAGCTTTAAAAAAACAACATTTTTGGGAAAAATTCTGATGCAAAATTATTCCGCAAATGTTTTTTGTAACTAAACCAAGCACCAAATAAAGATCTCATTAAGTTAAATATATACAAATTACTGAGAAGTACATGTAGTTTTCGAAGCAAACGTACAATGAATATATGGATCAAAGTTTCAGCAATATACAATTTAGCTTTGTGAAGCATTAGGTCAGTACAAAACTTGTGATTTAAAATAATTTGATGTGGGTTTTTAATGGAAAAATATCAGGGTTAAATTCATATATATTAATTAATCATCTGGAAAACGTTTTAACACATTTCAAATATTTAGCAGGCCCGAGTTTATTATACGAGCAGCGTGCTCAACTCATAAGTCACTCGTTAATATTTATTGTTGACTATTTTGCCGTATTTGTTTAGGGAAAACGACGTCAGTTTGAAAAGGGTAAATTGCTCCTCGCCTAATTTGCCCTTGTAAGATTAGACCCTTTGAAATACGTTACACACAATGCGTACTCACCAGTGCCAGAGGGTTTTCTGAATAAATGTCTAGCTCTTCTTAAGAACAACAGGAATTTAATTAGGAATGTGTTTAAATAATTGGCATTGTGTGAGAAACATCTAGTTATATAATGAAATGCTGACCATTTACAGCGGGGGGTTACATTGTATACACTTTGACTAGAATGTTCATTTTTAACCAGTCGTTTGCAAAATATATATTATTAATATAAAGAGTCAAGTTTACCAGTTAGCTGAAAGCCCACCATTTTAAACCATCCCAAACAGGCTTGAAATTTTAACTTTAACGTTAGTTCCCTATTTTTCTCATCGCAACGAGATTATATAACTTCTCATTTTAAATGCAAGAGGCAACTTCTTTAGCATAACCAGCAATGCATATTAGCTTAATTACTGCTTAGGTTTTAAGGCACACACACAAATTAAGCTGTTGCTTGCATTATATAAATATACAATTTAAATATAAAGCAATTAAAGTTAAAAATTTAAAAGCAAACATATTTCGAAAGCATTCGAAATATTATAGCAAATATTGATAAGTTTATAGCTAAATTCCGATATGACCAAAAAACCAATTAATCTGAGA